TTCAATTAACCACCCAAAAGATGGAAATAGAGATGTAGCTCAAGTGGTAGGGCACCCAGCCTTGAGAGAAGAATAGTTCAGGAGGGATAGTACCTAGCAAGAATGAGAGAGAGACAGAGAGACAGAAAGAGACAGAGAGAGAGAAAGAGAGAGGGAGATAAAGGAGGCAGAGAGAGGAAAAGTTGAATATTATTTAATATTAACAGGGAAAACACATTAATAATACATTGAAATGCTATTTTATCCAAATTATAAAATTGTAAAATTACACTGACAGGGATATATTGTTTAGGAAGTGGAAGAATAAAAACTCAAAACTGCTGGCACAACTTTGAAAACTGTTACATAAACTACTGTGAAGAAACAACTATCTTCTTGGTTCTTCCAGATATAATCCTCACCAGAATGAGTATTATAGGTGTTAAAAGACATATCCAAGCTGGGCACTGGTGATTCATGCCTTTGATCCTAGCTGTTCAGGAGGCTGAGATCTGAGGATTGAGGTTCAATGCCAGCCTATGCAGAAAAGTCCCCAAGGTGCTTATTTCCAGTAGGCTACTCAGGAAAGGCTGCAAGTGGTGTTGTGGCTTAAGTGGTAGAGTGCTAGCCTTGAGCACGAAGAGGCTCAGGGACAGTGCCCAGACCCAGAGTTCAAGCCTAGGACCGGCAAAAAAGAAAAGACATTTTCAATATTGTTTGTAGTAGCAGTATTTGCAGTAACCAAAAATTAGAAACTCCTGGATAATTATTTTGTGGAATAGAAATGACCTATAATGAGAAAACATATTTTTGTTGTTGTTGCTGTTACCAGTACTGGGGCTCAAACTCAGAATCTGTTGCTTTTACTTAGCCTTTTCAATCAAGGTTGGTACTCTCCCACTTGAGCCACACACTTGGCTTTTTGGTGGTTAATTGGAGGTAAGGGTCTCATGGACTTTTTCTGCCTGGTCTGGCTAGGATTACAGGCATGAGTTATCAGCACCAAAAAGCAGAAATTTTGGTTGAAGGGAAGTAAGTTTTTAAAGAAGAGGGGGGAAAGGGAGTAGGGTGCAGAGAAAAGGGTATACACATTTTTGGAGCTTCTAACAGTTTGGAGGAGGTTAAAAACAAAGTTAAAGACTAGATTTGGTCCTGTGTGAGAATGGGTAAACGAACTTTCTCTTTTACTTTTCTGTCTTACACAATTAACTTTTCAACTGTAGGAAAAAGTAAATGATCTATGATGGACTTGTTTTATTTTTAAAATGTTTTTGTTTTTATGCTAATTATATTAAAACTATAGACTACTAAAGATGAGCTGGGTTGTATTTTGTCAAAGTATTATTTAAATGATTTTAATTGTATTTTATCTATTGCATTCCTTCGTTATAGGACTTTGATTCTTTGGGTAGTGTACTTTCTAGTGGGCTTTAGATTCTTTGAAGTAGAGGAAAGCTTTACAGTCTATTGAACATTCTTTTTTCCACCCAGATCTTTCTACTCGTTACCTGTGGTACTTTTTGCTATAAATGCAAATCTGTTCTCAAAAACCAGAAGATTATTTACTTATTAGTGATTTACCTAATTAGTTGTTCCTTTAAACACATTAATTCCTTCTTAGAGAAAAGTATATATGTTATTTAGCTTTTAGGGAAATGTCTATATCTACATTTCTCTATATCATATATAGGTATAAATGCTTTATTTTCCTCATCATCTTCTCCTATACTGGTACACTTTTTGGTTTTAATCTTACTTTGAAAGGCCCAGAGAATATTAGAGGAGTATTAAAATCCTAGATGTGCTTTGCAGATAGAATTTTGTTTTGCTGTGGCTATGCTAGCCATACATTTAGTTAATGCAGAATCCAGCCTTTAGTGCTTAGTATAAAATTGATTTCATCTATCCCTTGGCATATACCCACCAGTAATTTATCATTTGGAAGAAGCATTCTCTTTATTGGGTCAACATGATACATGAAGCCTCTTGATCTGGGCAGCTTGCTTGACTTGTTCACTGACATGATCTCCTGTCTAAATCTCATTTGAACTCGCTCCTTATCATACACATAATGCTTCGGGAGCCAGTTAAAAATCATTTAAGATTCTCACCTCTTGTTTTGCTTTGAAAAACACTTAATTAACCTTGTTAAATATCAAGCTTCATGATCATAATCATAACCTTAAGCAAAAGAGTGCCTTTTCCTTTGGCCTATTTGTTCGCAGTGGGGGATCTTCTTAGTACTGAGTGTTTTCTTTCAGTCTAAATGTTAAAAATTCAGTACACAGTCATTAATAGGGATGATAGCTATAGTAGCAATCCATTTATGAATATTCATGATATGAAATATATAGCATTAATTACATTAATTTACATACCTAAAAGAAGTGAACAATAACTTGCAGCAATAACTAAGCCTTAGGGGAAAAATCTTGGTAACCATATATTGTATGTTTTCTTACAAATGCTATTTAATAGAAATGGAGATGACATTTCTGCCAAAAGTTATTTGAGTATTTATACTTTAAGATGTTTTAGCTGAAAATTAAAGCATCATATAATCCTTCTGTTTTCATAGGATTTTGTAGGGCTTATAGCCACTCTTTGAAGAAAAGGACTAGAAAGAAAAATGTATGTGGTTAGACAGAGAAGAAACCTTTTAGATGAATAAGGAAATTTGTACTATGTAAAACTTATTTGGGACCATAGTTTTTTCATATTATGAAAAAAAAAACACCTGTGTGTGTAAGAGGGAGAGAGACAGAGACAGAGACAGAGAGGGAGAGTCTGTAAAAGAGAGATAGAGCAAAGAGCAAAACAGAGAGAGATAGAACACAAAAGAAATACTTTCAGGGCTGGGAAGGTGGCTCAGTGGTAGAGCACTTGCCTTGCATACTTGAGGCCCTGGGTTCGATTCCTCAGCACCACATAAGCAAAAAAGAAAAAAGCCAGAAGTGGCGCTGTGACTCAAGTGGTAGAGCACTAGCCTTGAGCAGAATTGCTGAGGGACAGTGCCCAGGCCCAGAGTTCAGGCCCCACGACTGGACCCAAAATAAACAAACAAACAAAGAAATACTTTCACCATATAGCACAGGCTGGCCTTGAACTTTGTGTGTGTGTGTGTGTGTGTGTATATGGGGGGAGAGAGAGAGAGAGAAAAAAAAAAGAACTACTGGTGTCTGAACTCAGGGTCTTGTGCTTACTAGGCAAGCAGTCTACCACTCCTAACCATTTTGCCTAGGTTAGTATCAAACTGTGATCCCCTTGATTTCCATCTCCTAAATAGCTAGGATTATGGGTGTTTATCCACAGTACCCAACCTGTGCGCTCAAACTCTTGCTTCAATCTCCTGAGTAACTGGGATTACTCTCTCACACCTGACTTGACTACAAATTTTAATTCAGCTTTTTTTTTTTTTTTTTTTGCTTGTCCTGGGGTTTGAAATCAGGGTCTGGACCTGTCCCTAAGCTTCTTTTGCTCAAGGATAGCACTCAGATCTCAGCCTCCTGAGTAGCTTGCAACCAACAGATTCTTTTTGTTGTTGTTGTTATTGGTCATGGGGCTTGATTCTTGGCCTAAGTGCTGTCCCAGAGCTCTTTTTTGCTCAAGGCTAGGACTTTATTACTTTGAGGAACAGCACCACTTCCAGTTTTCTGGTGGTTAATTGGAGGTGAGTGTCACAGACTTTCGTACCTGGGCTGGCTTTGAACCGGCCCCCTGAATAGCTAGGATTACAGGTATGAGAGACACCAGCACCCAGGCTATCTAAACCTTTTAATGTGCTTTCTTGGTTTTTATTTGTTGGTGGTGCTGGGAATCAGCCCTAGGTACTTGAGCATGCTAGACAAGTATGCTAGCTTTGAGCTATATATACCTCCAGCCCATTATTATATTTTAGTTTGTCTTTTTTTTTCCTTGAGGCACATTCTTTTTTTTTTTTTTTTTTGGGTCTGGTCGTGGGGCCTGAACTCTGGGCCTGGGCGCTGTCCCTCAGCTCTTCAGCTCAAGGCCAGCGCTCTACCTCTTGAGCCACAGCGCTTGAGGCACATTCTTATTGTGCAGTCCAGCCTAGTCTTGAACTTGTGTTCTCTCTGCCACTGCTGGGAATTCTGGCCTGACTCTGGCTACTACTGTTTCATTTTCTCACTATTTTCCCTCCTTCCCTCCCTCCTTCCCTCCCTCCCTCCCTTCTTTCCTTCCTTCCTTCCTTCCTTCTTCCCTCCCTATCTGCCTCCCTCTCTCCTCCGTCCCTCCCTCCCTTCCTTCTGTTAGAAGTAAGAAGGACTTTGTACTTGTGTGGTATGTGGTATATGCTCTAGTGCTTGAGCCACACTTCCAGCTTCTTTTTTTTAAGGTTCATTTCAACCTGATACTTTTTAAAGCTTCTTAATAATATTCCTTTGTTTCGGTCTGCTTACATAATGAAGCAGCTATTTTTATAATGAAAGTATTTAAGAACTAGACTGACACATTGACCTATATAAATTATTTTAGGTGATTTATAGGATGCCTGTGAAGTACATTCTGAATCATAGTAGAATTTTTTACTTTGCTTTTGTTTTTTTATTTCACAGTAGACATTTTAGGTTATCATTAGTATTGTCCAATTTAGGTATCAGGATTTTTTTTATACATTTTAGAAAGATTTCAAACTTCTAAGTTAAAAAAGGGAAAAAGATTTTATACCTGAAATACTTGTTTACCTAAAAACTATATTTCTGGAAAATAATGGTTTGTTCCCAAATAGTGGTCAATAACTGATACATTAAGAGACTTGTTAAAGATAAGAAAAACTCCTGTGCATTCGAATAATAGGGGTACTCTCAAAACAAAAGCAAAAAGTCATGATTCTACTGCTTTTCATTTTAACTAGGTGAATATCTTAATTTGTTCTTTCAGAGAAGAGGTTAAGTCATGAACAATATTACTTTCAGGTTTTGCTTTTTCTTATTTTGGGATAGTCATATTGTAGCTGTTTTCATTTGCTGTATGCATTTCCATGTTTCTTTTTTTTCCCACAGCAATCTCCTGGGTTAGGCAGGCCTGTCTGGCTCCAGATTGCCGAGTCCGCTTACAGATTCACCCTGGGCTCAGTTGCTGGAGGTGAGTGACATGTCTGTGTGCTGTTTGAGGCGGGTGTTAATGTAATATTATCTCACTAGACCTGGACAGATCAGCAGAGATGCAGTTCATTGTTTTGGGGGTCACGACTGCAGGGCTTTCTTTATTTTTACCTGTGATCTGAGGACATGTCATAGCATGGCTGTGGCCCCTCTGGCTCCAGTCTGTCTCCAAGATAAAACCTCTGTAATGATGTGAAAGTCTGAGGTGCAGTGCTGTTCTTACCTTAATTATTTTGGTTAAGGCCAGTATGAAAAAATGGAAAGTAAGACTGAGTTTATGGGGTCAGGCATAGGAGTAGGTAGAAAATGAAGACTTTGGTTTTCTAGGATTTATATTTCAAATCCTAGAATCTGATAAAATAAAACAACCTCCCAAAGGGATTCACTTTTGTTTTGGCTTATATATATTTTTCTCTTTTCCTGGCTTAAGAATATGTAGATTAGTAGTTTATTTGCAAAATTGAACTTCCTTTCTGTTCCCTGCTCACAGCAGAAATTTGAGGGACTGTAATTAAGTACTCTACAAGGAAAGTATATAGTAGAATCTGAAGTTGTTTTGTTGAGAAGAACCTAGAAGGCATGATTAAAATACTCCAACTTTTTCAAAATGAGGCTGAACTGATGATATTAGTATTTTTTCAGTCTCAGTTTTAGAAATTGTAAAGCTTGTTTTGGTTTCCAACATTCAAAAAATAATAATTATCAGATAATAATTATCTCAGTCCCTGAAAAATTCTAAAACATAGTGCTTTTTCCTCAAGCAAATTTTATAACTAGAGATAAGGATCATATTGAAATTTGTTTCCAATAGTATGGTTGTAATAGTGATTAATTTACTAAACTGCTTTAGTAGTAGACTAAATTATAAAATTATAGTCACTTAGTTCACATATATAGTCATTTCATAGTTATTCAGAAGTAATTGGCATAATATTTAGGCGTTTAATGGAAAATATAAAAGAATGTTATAAAATGTAATAATTTAAATTGTGATTATGGGAAAGTGAGTGGTTCTCTAATGTTGGTGATGACTGGATAATCCACTTTGTAAGTCACAAACCTAAGATATCAAAGAGCATTTTTTGACACCTTTTTTTGTTCTTTTTCTTCTTCTGGTTTTGGACTGCTGGGGATCAGATCTAGGGCCTTTCACATGCTAGGTGAGCACTGTACCAGCTATATCTCCAGCCCGACTGTTATTTCATGAAGCAACTGTATTTATGGGTTGTTAAGTGTCCCATCCTTAGTGTATAAAAGAATGTAATGTAATTGTCTTCTGTGATAATAAATTTTATGTTTTATATTTTCGCCCGTCAGGTGAAGATATATTTTCTTTATGAACTCTGATTTAATTTTGTTCTTTTTAAGTTTGAAAATTGTTCTGTTTGTAGCTGTGGGAGCCACTGCAGTGTATCCAATAGATCTAGTGAAGACTCGGATGCAAAACCAGCGTGGCACTGGCTCTGTTGTTGGGGAACTGATGTACAAAAATAGCTTTGACTGTTTTAAGAAGGTCTTACGTTATGAGGGCTTCTTTGGACTCTACCGGGGTAAGTGGGCTAGTTTCACAGCTAAATTTAGTGATTTTATTTCAGGCGCTTTCTATTTTCTCTGCTCATTTTTCCTTTTTACATTCTTTCTGGTATCTAGCAGTATTAGTCTTGCTAATTATTTCTTCTTCCTGCTAGGATTCCAGATTCTGTATTTTTCCCCAGTATGAGTCTAGGCTACCATGTCCTTACAAGCTAAGACACATGTCTGCAGCTCGGAAATAGTTTCTTTCCCAGTACATTGAAGAGGAGAAATAGAAGCTTCTCTGTAAAGCAGAAGCCAGGCTGCTACTTGAAAGTGAATTTATATACTTGTTTTAACTGAAAGAAATATAATTTTTTTTGTCATTTCCAGGGAGGCCAGATGTAGGTCTTTTCCAATGAGTCATCTGAATTAAAAAGAAAAAGGAAAGAAAACTGTGGCTCTTACCCTTTCTTCCCCTTAGCTCAGACACACAGCAAAGCAAAGAGATTGTCACCACCAACGCTAGACTGAGTATAGAGACTGTTGTCAGCATTACAGACTGTAACTCCATGCAGAATTCTCCCCCACCCCTTGGCTTTGTAGGAACTTGTTCTCCTTGGAAAGAGAATGGCTTTCATCTACATTAGAATTTTGGGTTCCTTGGAGGGGGCTGGAGATTAATTTTTTAATCCCTTTGGGCGCCACTTGAAATTCTTTGAAAATACTCCCAACATGCTCAAGTCCAGGGCATTTATGTAATTTACTGTACTTGTTTGTTTACACACCCTGGCTTATTAATCCCTAGCTCATTCTGAGTTGTATTCAACAGTTTGGCTTAGATTCTCTCCCTCAAATAGGAAGACTGGACCTGAATAAAGCTTTATGTTCATGGACAGGAGAAAACCAACACCTCCAACTGACATAATATTCAAAAAGTCAAGTGAAAAATGTAACTTTGATTTATTGATAGTTGATAGAGAAAGTCATGAGGATGCTCATGGGGGATTATGTGTAAAATAAGAGAATAACTTTGAATTCAAACTAGGCTCAAATACCTAGGTTCCGAGAATAAATATAATTAATTTTGTTCAAATATTCAGCAATCTAAATTCCTGTGCAGTTTGCACTCTATGGGAAGAAGTGTGCATTGTACTCAGCACAGAGCTGCCTGACCAGTGAAGGCTTGCTTTAAGCTGACTTAAGGCCTTCATATCTAAAATTTACTTAATGGAATCAGCGTTCAGTATCCCTAAATTTTTTATTTCTTTGAAATCTCCAATTATTCATTATCAAATAATGACTTCTTTTCCTTGGTAGAGTATTACATTATAAGAAGAAACCTAGCTTATATAACTGCAACTCTTCTGTATATCACCTTTACAGTAAAATTTAAAATTAGAAAAATTAAAATAAGTGTCAGGATTTTACAGGGTTTAGTATATTTACATTTATTTTGCAGTAAGTTATGCATACATAGAAAGCTTGTGAAAAATATGCATCACTGTGCAGGAGACTAAAATATCAATAAACTTTGCTTTTTCCTATTAATTGGGATTTGAATAAGGGAGAATCAGTTTTTTTAAGTAAAAAGTAAAAAAAGAAGGAAAGGTTAAAAAAGAAGAAACCTAGATATACAATGCATAGTTTAGCCTTCTCAATAAATAGCTGTTTCGAGAAGATTTCATTTGGGTTAGATGTTATATTAATTGTGTGCAATATAGTAACTAGGGGAGAAGGGATACTGGCTTTATGCAGGGTGTGAGATGATAAAATCCATCCTTTAAATGAGAGATTTTATACTAGGGAGAAGATTGTAGGAGTCCTGTATGTGAGAACTGTGATTATTGAGATTGTCATATATTGCTTAGAACTGGTCCATTATTTTGTCAAATGATTGACAAAATTGTTGACAGATTAGCTAAATTTCTTTGTAGGAAACAATGATAAAATGACATAAATCAGTACTTTATTAAAATTCCATGAGCTTTACTAAGGCAAGTTGTAAAACAAATACACATGCTGACATGGTTGTATGGGAATAAGATGAAAAGTAATTGTGCCTGATAATCAGGAGGGTTAGAAAGTTAAGACTGCCATCTGCTGATTTATTCTTTTAAGTCAGCCTGCTAACCATGAAAGGTATGTGTGGATTTGTATTTGTCGTTGATAATTCAGTTTGACTGACAGTAGCCTGTATGCATGATTACTTGTTGGCTCTCAACTCATGGAAAATCACTCAGCAGCATCCTCAAAGTAGGCTTAAGACCAGCAGTGAGCAAACGTGTAAGCACTCTCCCTTGGCAAGAAGATTTAAAGGATATACAATGTTTATTGTTAGCATCTTTTATAAATGTATGCAAAATTATATAAGCTAACAATTTGGATAAGCTGTGTGCCTTAGAAAAGTGAGTCCTATGAATATCTACAGATGCTGAATTGTTTATATATTTTTCTCTTTTTCTAGTGTGCCAGACTGGGAAATTTAACTTTTCTTAGAATAATGTTTTTATTTTGAGAGGAATCTTTTCAAAATGTCTTAAACTGGATATACACTAGTAAATAAAAATACAATTGGCATGCTTTTTGCTTACTGGAGATATTCATTAGATGATACTAAAAACTGCATTTTTCTCTGTGGTTGTGGCTTTCCTTTAAATAAATGAATACTGAATGAATAATGAATAAATGAATAGTGAAGGCTTCTCTGAAGAGAAAATTGTGGGAGTTAGTATTCTATTATAACTGAGCTACTATATACTGTTATGTAGGTAGCATTGTTTGTGACAAAACCTGGGTGGAGTTTTCCCCATATACAACTTTAGCATATCTCAAGTTCTGTGCAAGTTTGAATGTTGTTCGTTGTAATAAGAGAGGAAAATTGGTTTCATTGTTGTTGGTAATGTTTCCTGAGTTGAGAAAATCCATAGGCTGTATTTTTTTCCTCAGTGCTTTTTGGATAAAAATTCCAGTTTGATAGTTTTTTTTTTAATTCATGCTTAAGGAAAGCATGTATAGCTTCAAGAAACATAGTGTCATACTTGTAAATAATTATTATGTGCATATACAGAGTTTTTAGGATAGCCACTTTTCCCATTTTAATGGAAGTCTAGAAATACTTGATGCATGAATAATACAAAGAAAATACTTTGTTTTGTGTGTCTTTCTGTTTTAAACCTAATTTGCTAATGATTCTATTTACCTAGGTCTGATACCACAGCTTATAGGAGTTGCCCCAGAAAAGGCCATTAAGCTGACTGTAAGTTTTTTTTCTTACTGAGTTGATGTCATTTATTTAAATTACTATAAGCACAAAATTAAAATCGATGCTGCTAAGATTGACACACATTTTGGGGGGGTACTTCTTTTTAAGCTCACTAATTGGGCTCTATGACTTGAGCCACACCAGCCATTTTGCCTTTGTTATTTTTTAAGTAGGGTCTCAATGGTATTCCTGGGCTGTCTAGACCATGACTCCTCTATTTATACTTCACATATACCTAGATGATAGTTGTATGACACTATGCCCAGTTATTAGTTGAGATGTGGGTCTTAAGAACTTTTTTTTACACTGGCCGTGATTTTCTAAATCTTTGCCTCTCAAGTAGCTAGGATTACCAGCATGAACTACTAGTACCCAGCCAGCACTGGCACTCTATTAAGACACTTTTGTACACATTTAATAATTTTTAATTTTATTCTGAGATATGTTATTTACTTGGAAGGCAACAATGTGCCTATAGAAAAACTGGTTGGGAATTCTGGTTAACTGATATTGTCCTCCTAATTAGGTTAATGATTTTGTCCGAGACAAATTTACCAGAAGAGATGGCTCCATTCCACTTCCAGCAGAAATCCTTGCTGGTGGTTGTGTAAGTATTAATCCTGGGTGCTTCTTGTGACAAATATATTCTGTAAACTTTTTACACCTTACAAGTGACATTTCTCAAACTCAAGGTATCTTAAGCAAATGTTCTCATATAAAAATTTTTTTAATTTTATTGTATGATCTTGCTGTTTTTTAGGACAGGGAAAAAAAGACACTTTCCTGAGCTTTATTTTCATTAGCTTCTGTTTTAGAAACTTCTAAAGTTTTAATTTCCAGACTTTTAAAAAGTCCTAATTCTTATTTTTAACCATCATAGGAAGTATAATGTAAGTAGAATAATCATATATTTTGATTGACTGGAACTTTACATGTGAGATAACTATTACTTGGGTCTTTATATTTCAGGTAATGTAGCTACCTAAATTATAACTAATTTATAAATAAAATTACAAGTAATAACTGAGCCATGGTGGTCTAGTTTTCTAATAGTGTCTCTTTTGGGTCTGGGAGTTATGATTAAACAACTGTAATTATATTGAAGCTATTGACAAAAATTCTGAAACCAGCGATTCACATTATATTTACTCAAAGCACAAATCATGTATTTTTAAAGTGTAAGCATTTACACTGGGTTTAGCCCAATTCATACCTCTAAGTTTATAGCCCAGTTATCCTATTTACAATATTTGTTTTACATTTGCTTGAGATTTGTTTAGTCCATTTTGTTTTTAAAAATGAAAATACCATTGTTGGACTGGCTGGTGGTTGTGCTAAAACTTTCCCAGTTGCTCTTGGAGCTTGAGGTGGTGAGGTCAGTGACCTTCAAACTTTTAATTCAGAGAAGATGCCCCTGAGGTCAGAGAGAGAAGGTCCTCCTTGATGAGATTTGTCAGCTAGGCACAGACATAAGTCCTCACCTTTCTGAGATCAAAGTTCTTATGGAAGAGGTGAATTGGTTGCAGGGGAATAGGAGTGGGGGAGGGGATGAAGGGGGAGTTGAGGGAGGTGAGCAATCACATTTGCATATTTGTCTGCATGCATACAAACATTCTTAGACTGCATGCTCAGGAAGGAAATTTCTTTGGTTGAATTTCTTTTCTTCATGAAAGATAAACAATGTAAAAGAATAAGACTCTTGTCTAGCTCACCAAAAGTATATTGTCTTTTCTTTATTCCAATGATGAGTACCGTAATTGTTTCTCATCTAATGACAGAAGCTTTGTGAATCATAAATATTTTTCTCAGTGGTTTAAGTTTCCATCTGGTTAACAAGCTTCCCAACTCATTTTACCATAGCACATACACAAATCTGCCAGAAACTTGCAAGTCATGCTTTTCATCTTCCATATGGCTAGTGATTTGTTCCCATTTGTGATATCCAGAAGATTTTGGCTGTAAAATGGACTCTGCCCCATGTCTGACATGTGACCCAAGTCATTAAACTATAATTATCTATATGGTTCTTTTTGTTTCTGTCAGGTGTAGACCCTGTTTATAGGCTTGAACTTCAGGAATTTCTGTTGAAGTTGAGAATCTTTGAGAAACGTACTGATTCCTTAAATCTCTTCCTTAATCATGACTCATTTCTGAAAGCTTTGATGGGTTAAATATTAGCTAGAAATTAACAACATGAATAGTGGGCTAGTCTCTAGGCAAATAAAAAAGAAATATATAATTGTTTATTTTGTTGTTGTTGTTGTTGCTATTTTATTTATTTTTAAATTTTTGATATGGTCTATAGGCAGGCTGGTCTGGAACTCACTGTCTAACCCAGGCTGGCCTCAAACATAAACATACCTCTTGCCTCAACCTCCTAAGTATTATAAGTGTGTTCCATTAGGTCCTGCTTGAGTTTCTCCTGAGAACTAGTCATCCCGCAGTGTAAAAGCATAGTTCTTTGGTTCTCCCAAAACTTTATAAATTTCAACATAGTCTTAGACAAATGGGTGATTATCTGTTTATAGAATAGTGGACACTGTGAGATGCAGGATATTCTCTTCCCTGAATGATAACAGATAAACACTGGCAGCCTGATCCGGAGTTCCCATCAGACAAGGTACTGGTGATGGTAAAATGTGCAAGGTGTTTAGCTCAGTGCTGTCGGTGCTGTCAGAAGAGTGCTGCTGCTTTTCCAAAACCTACCCAATTTTAAAGCTGTAACTAAGGTTAAAGAAGAAGTAGACCCCTTTGTACTGTACAGCACCTTTACAACAAAATAAAAAAATTCAGGCAAGAAGAAGAAGAAGAAGAAGAAGAAGAAGAAGAAGAAGAAGAAGAAATAGCTCACTAGTTAATTAGGAGGCTGAGATCAAGAAGCTGAGCTTTTTTTTTTTTTTTTCCTACCAGTCCCAGCAGAAGTCTTTGAGACTTCATCTCCAATTAACCATCAAAAAGCCGGACTAGATCTGGACATTTAAAATACTATTTACTGAAATGAATTCCAGGAAATGAAAACATAGTCGGGCACAGAAAGGGAGGGAGGAAGGGTGAACAGATGCAATCATGGTATTCAGTATACACTACGTATAAAATAAACTATGGAACTTGTGGGCAGGGATGGGAGAGGGAAAAACTGGGAGAAAGCATAGGAAAGAGTGACCTTGTCCAAAAAAGAACTGTACTTATTATTTGACTTATGAAATGGTAACCCTCTGTACAATACCTAACAATAACAATACAATTATACGTATTTATTTAAAAGCTGGATTAGAAATGTGACTCAAGTTGTAGAGTGACAGCCATGAGTAATGAAGATGAGAAGGCACAAGGTCCTGAGTTCAAACCCTATTCTGGGGCACAAGAAAGAAATGGAGGCAGGAGGGGGAAGGAAGAAAAGGAAGGGAAAAGAAAAGGAATAAATGAGTTATAGACTTTTCCAAGCAGAATTAGTTAGGAATTGGGTCAAGTTTCTTGTAGATAGATAGGAGAGAAATTCTGTTACCATGAAATGACTAAATTAACCTTTTAGAAAACGGCATGCGGGGCTGGGAAGGTGGCTCAGTGGTAGAGCGCTTGCCTTGCATGCTTGAGGCCCTGGGTTCGATTCCTCAGCACCACATAAGCAAAAAGAAAAAAGCT